AAAAAAAGATAATGCCATAAACCCCCCTCCCCCGACCGCGCCCCGGAAATGCCTTGCCTAAGTTAAGCACCGGTGGATATACACTTCTCCTTTCTTTCTCCTTTCTTACACTTGGTTAGATAAGAGTTAACATGTATCTTAACATTCTTGATAGGAAAAGCGAGGAAGAAAGCTCTTTAATGCCAAAACTATGTGTCATCCTTGTCTAGAAGCACAAATTCGCACAGCGGGCAGTGCAGTGAAAACAGCTCATAATCAACTCATCACCTCTTACCATTGCTATGATCAAATGCAAAGGGAAGGAATGCCACTTCAGTCATTGCTAGAGAAAATTAGCACCTGTGACACTAATGGTGTCTCATTTACTATGCACTGTAGATTTTTTAAAGTGGTAAAAAAAAAGGTTTTTATTTCCAGAGCTGCCACCATTTCAATGTTTTCTTTTGAAATAACAGTGGTATTTTAATCTCTTTTACTCAAAGAAAAAACCTCAGTTAAAATTTATCAATACATATCATTAATCCCAGCCAAAAAAAGGCCAGTTGATTCAGTTGTAGAATTTTATTTTTGGGATCTATACCTTTTCTATTTTTGAAGTTTCTAACATATTCCTTGACCTGGAATGAAGGCCTACTATTATGTAAGGACAGGCATCTCTAGGGGTTTTTGCACAACATTGGTGGTATAGGTGTGTTTTTTTAAAATAAAACTTAAAAATGAATGTTATATTTACTCATAGACATACAAACTTTCTTCTGTACATAATAACAGACTTGCTACCAAGAATAAAGAAAGTATATAACGCTGGTGAGCATTCATACTTGAGCTAGACTACATACAGTAGACTCAAGAAATTTGATTCAGTTTACAAGTATTTATTGAGTCTATTACATTGAAGGTATTATTCCAGGTGCAGGAAGGGGATACATGCCTATCCTTATCCCAATATTAGGTCATGATTTTTCTTTGACAATTTGAATATATGAATATTAAGGAAGTTTTACTGTTGCTTTACAATAAATGGTGAATCTTGTGTGGACACTTGGAGGGACTTTGCAAGTGGAACTCCTGCATTTTATTAGACACACAATGAAGGATCTCTAAATTCCTTTCCAACTTACAGAGGCTCTTAAAAATGTGTTCTGCCTGGTTTCCTTAACATTTAGCTGGTAATTAAGACAAATAGAAATAATATCTACAGTCCCTATGCTTGTAATGCAGCATAATATTTAAGAACAGGAGTACTGGAAACTGATAGGTGTATTTATATCACATAGTTTTATTATTTACCTATGTGTCTTTGCTCAAGTTAATTCACCTCCTCCATGAGGCTAAATAAGAGTGATTCCCATACAGAATTGTTATAAATGTTAAATCAATTAGTATACAGATAGCTCTGAACATAGCAACTGGAATGTAATAAACTCACAATAAATATAGAAAACAAAAAATAAAACATTTTAGTTGGAAAAGCAGTCAAGGAAAATTATGTTCTATAATGTAAGAATTTATGGAGTATAATGATATCATATCTTATCAAATATGAATCCTGGATATGCTTAAATTTTTAAAAAATCATGATCAGCAGTGAGCACTCATGATAAGAAGGTAAAAACAAAACTGAAGAAGGAAAATACATTATGGTACCTTGTCTATATATTAACCAAGGCTATTTTTGATCAAGTATTGTAGAACAACCATTTATCAAATTTCTTTCTTAATTTGGAATGTACCTACACACTATAGAGACATCTGAGATACAAACTGAACTTGTTGGAATTTATTAACATTCCAGCACACATAGTGGGCTTCTCATAATAATTTCACAAGGCTTTTCCAGTTTCCCTTACAAAATATCTCTGGTATTTCCCTCATAACCTATACTGTGAATATCTTATAGTAAATATGCATACGGTTAATCCTATTTATAAGCTATTTGAAAGAAAGAACCCATACCCAAAATGGAGAAACAGAAGAATAAAGAGTAGAAAAGAGGACACATTGATGTTAAAATTATATACAATAAAACTATATTTTAACATGTGTTTTGACTTATTATTTTGATTCATGGACATGTTTATCAGTAAGTCTTATGAACATAAGAAAATAGTAAATTGTTTTGAATATAGGACAGATACAATCTATTGCTATATTTCATATCCATGATTGTTTTTAATTCTTCTTACAGTTATAAGAATTATTTTAAAATACATTTAATAACAAAGCCTTTCATAATTTTTATTTCAGGTAACATTAGATATAATATGTATTCATCATTTGAATTGGGTGTTAGGTCACTGAAAAAACACACACAGGAGTTAACATGAACTAGGTGATTAAATAATATTTCTCTAATTTTTAATGTTGCTCATTAGTTTAGTAATTACAATGAAATACAAGGAAATCTCAAAAATTCTGAAATAGTGTAGCATAAAGAGTGTATGTTTCTGAATTAAAAGATGCAAACAAGTAACTGGTATATGGTTAATCAGTGTAGTAACAGTGATTCCCTATATTTAAGACTGTTTTCTTGACAGTTCTATTTTATTTTTCTAGACATGGACCTTATGTTCCCTTCTAGTAGATGAAGGAATTTGCACTTTTCATTTTTTTACCATGTATTTGTAAGATTTTCATGACATCCATCAGTAACATCTCTTACGGATTCTGGTCTTTTTCTATAAAATACACTAGGAAAATTATCCAGTAAAATAAATGTTTCTAAGCTATAATTACAGTATAATAATTGGGAAAATATTAACTTCATATTAAAAAGAAAGGATTTAATCAATATGGAATATATGAAAAAGGTACTTGTACATATACAATCACAAAGCTCTTTAAATTGGTATAGAATGGAGAAAGAACATGTGGTGCATATATGCAATAGAATATTATTCAGCCATAAAAAGAATGAAATCTTATCATCTTCAACAACATGAGCAGACTTAGAAGATATTATGCTAAATGAAATAAGTCAGAAAAATACCATATGATTTCACTTACATATGGAATCAAAAATAAAATAAATAACAAACAAAACGGAAGCAAATTCATAGATACAGAGAACAAATTCATGGTCACTAGATGGGAGAGGGCGGGGAGATGGGTGAAAAAGGTGAAAGGGATTAAAAAGTACAAACTGCCAGTAATGAAAATAGTCATGGTGATGTAAAATACAGCATAGGGAATATAGTAAATAATATTGTAATTACTCTGTATGGTGTCAGATGGGTACTAGACTTATTTGGGTGATCATTTTATAAAATATATAAATGTCTAATGATATCGTACATCTGCAACTAATACAATAGTGTACATCAACTATACCTGTAAAATAAATTAATTTTAAAATTTATATAGAATAAATCATGTATCTCAAGAAAATAGGAGCTCATTTATGACAAAAGTTAGTATTTCCAAAGTGACTATATTCTGTGATAGATCGTGTTCTCAGATGCATATTTTATCAATTTTTTTTTTTGCTTTTCTGAACAAGTCAATAAGATGAACAATACTCCATATGTATTACAATAGTTTCTGCAATTAAGGCAGATCATAATAGACTGAAGTATCATTTTGAAAATAGTTTAATGGCATAGTAACTCACTGTATAATATGAGCTATTCCTATTATGTAGTCTTTATGAGATATTCTAACTTTAGATTTTAAATACTTGGAGGAAAATCACTGCTTCATATTAACTTTGTGATCTTCCTAAGTCTACTATTATAAACTCAATATTATTGCACTTAATCAAGTAAATTTTATATAAAAATATTAAATAGAAAGGTAAGTGATGCTTTTAGAAACTGTTTTTTTTCCTCTCTGGAAAAAATGTTACCTTGAATTTTTATTACATTAGGGAAAAAAGACAGAAATTGTGATGTGTTATCCAGCTGTATTTCTCAGTAAAGGTGCTTGCTTGTCTATCCTTTATCAGATCTTTGTGTCAGAAAGAATTAATGTAAAATTAATTGATTCTTAGCTTCCAAAGATTGGAAATCATTTATTTTTAGTTTCTTTCAGGGAGGTCGTATGTAACTTGCAAGGAGTGTTAAAATATTGACTATCGTTCAATGCTGCATCAATACAAAAGTTCACAATCAATTCCCAACTCCTTTCTGTCAGAATGGGTGCCAAGCGTATAGTGACCATTAAGGTAGTAAAATAGTCCTTTAAAGAGACATTTTAACTCAAATATTGTCTCTTCATGAACAGATTTAAAATGGTAATTATGTAAGAAATTCAAGAAATGTATAAGTATTAGAAAAAGTCTCTGCACCAGTACTTAATAACTTAATAACTAATTTAGATATCTGCAATAGGATTTAAATAGGCTATCTCATGCCTTACTTTTTTAAAGTGGCAGTTATTGTCAAGACAAAGAATCGAACAACATGCCAAATAGAACCAACTTTACAAATTTACTAATTTATGAAGCTTTGATTCTTCCCAAAACACAACCCAATCCTCTCCTTAGTTCAAGAGACAAAATAGAAGAATAATATCTACAACAAATTTTCATATTTTAATATTAAAAATAAAAATAATCAAATATTTAACATAAATATTTATTTTAAAACCTTCTCATAATTAAATATATTGTGAGAAGCTGAGCACTTAAGGGATAAAAGGCATTCAATATATTGTTAAATAGATATTGACAATTTTATTGTCATTAAAAATGTGCAAGAATGTTTTATAATATCAGTCTTTAACACAAAGGCCACCAAGTGGATTTCCATGAAGTTGGTAATCTGAGCTCCAAGTTCAGTTCAAGATGTAAGTGATCAAATATGAACTATAAGATATAATTACAAAGACAATAATTGTCAGGTATTATTTAACTTCTAACTTTGCTATTAATTTTTTTCCATATTTGCCATGAGGCATTCAGCTCTGTGGTTGAATTTATGACTGACAAATAAGAACTATGTGTGTGTCTGTATTCTATTACATGGTTTAGTTTTGTTTGACTATGTATAAAATTGTCTTACCTTTGGTTTTTGATGTTTCTCCTTCTCTGAAACATTGGATGGTTTTCTCTTCAGCATTTTGAATTCAGACTCCGAGTGCACTTCCTGTCCTTACAGAAACAACTGAAGACAGTCAGTAGTGTGCCGTCCGTGGTGTTCAGCAGTAAGTGAGCTTGAGCCCTGGGACCTCCCACTTCCTCTTTTGGTCAGGATATGATTTCACATTTACACGGGTAAAGTTTTTGGCTTTTTTTTTTTTTATAGTTAATCTTTGGTATCTCTTTAATGTTCTGTTTCTTCTATATTCTATGAGGTAAATTTATAAATTTCATACTTTGCCATGCATGCAGTTATCATTAAGACTATAAGGATTACAAATTTATTTTAAGTTTATATAAAAATAAAAATTTATAACACTTTCTATGGGTAGAGGGAAGAAAACATCTGAACCAATAAATAAAAGTTGAGATGTAGGCTTTTCAGTTTAAAAAAAAATTAAGAGAATACTCAGGGCAGTCAATTTTACATGTCTAAGTAAATTTTGTTAGAAGATTAAATAAACTATACTTTATAAGATATCAGTCCTATTTAAGGCATGTATTATGTACTTAAAAATGGAGTATAGGTAAAGTTCATATACATATAAATCAGAATCTGACTCCAGAAGTACATGGTTATAAATAGTGTTACTTATATTACTATGTTGTAAAGCCCCGATTATTATGGAAATCAATTAAACATAGCCTTCAATTCACCAGATATTTTTCTGCCACAAGCTGCAATGTCAGCCCTGATTATTGTTGTTCTGCGGATGATCCAATGGATCAATGGTATCTTCAAATGAAGCACCCAGAGTACCTATCTAATAGGTCTTGAATAGAGCTAGGATGTCTTAAACTTTCTGCTTCAAACTAAAAGGTTTAACATTTTTATTATAATGTCAAAACCAAGATACCCAGAAAGTAAAAGCAAGAAGTTCAAGCTTTCTTGGTATTTAGGGATTTACCAAAGGGAGATCTGTGCAATGTCTAAAATTCCAGTTCTATTAGAACAGGCCTGCTATGGAAATCAACCTACATTCTAACTTATAAAACCCTTGAGCTGAAAAGAGATGGGACCATATTCTTAAAGAGCAGCTTTTCTAGATACCAAATCAATCAACTCTATTCTTAAAGAGCAGCTTTTCTAGATACCAAATCAATCAGTCTCCCCGAGGCTCAGTTTCAGTGTTCAAATTCTACTAATTTGTGTAACAAATATTGAATTGTTTTTCATGTGCTGTCTGACAATATATCGTCTTTGGACTAGTTAAAATATTGTTTTTGTTATATAATAGAATTGAAGAAATACACTGCCAATATTATGGTTATTATGCTTCTATTAGATATTAAGGGCAAAATTATATTTTCAAGAATTATAAGACTAGTATTAGCAAATTAATGACACAAAGGTTAACACTGAAAAACTCTCAAGGACTTTGAGGTCGGGTAATTACCTAGAAGTATGCCTTCTTTCAGACTTTCTGTTTGGATTTGTGTTAAGTCAGTGGCCTAAGTAAATGTTTTCTTTCATGTTTTGAAATTGAAAGTCATGAAGAAATATACTTATTTACTGAAATATCTGCACCCTCTCTGTCCTCATTTCTTCATCTATGAATAGCGATTTAATTCAAATGTGAGTTCAGTAAATAATATGGAAATGATAATATATTTATTACATGAGAGGGTTTTCATGAGGATAAAAGAAAATACTAATAAAAAACATACTTATTATATGACATCATTTAAGTAACATTTTATGTAAAGAAATGTTTGTTGATCTTAAAGAGTCATGTGCTTTGAAATGTAATATTACCCCAAATGTAACTATTTAACTATTTGAAATATCTAGCTCTAGATTCTTATAACGATAACTAAAGAACAGAGACTATAACTGGACTATATGCAATTTTAAAAAGTGTTACACTCAAGCAGTTTTTATAAAATCTCAATTTATGATATCTAGGCGTTTTATCATCATTAAAACTATAAAAATATTTAAAATATAAATAAAATCAAAATCTTTTACTTCAGAATTACTGATGAGAGAAGCAATTTTCCAATTTTCTTCTCAAAAGTGATATTTTCTGGAGATTAAAAGACATATGATATTCGAGGCCCTATTACAATCTATATTTAACTCCTTGATCCGAAAAAATTCTCAGGTGGCAAGGTAGAAACTATTTTTGTCAATTATCTATTTTATGGAATTCTGGGTGCTCCAAAATATTTAAGAAGTGACCCATAATCATCCAGAAAATTTAAAAGCCTAAGGTAAACAGAACAGGAATGCAGTAGAAAGTTGGTATTGAGCATTCCCAACTAAGGAGGTACCTAATTCCCTATCATGATTCAACCACTAAGCCACGGGTTGCCTAAGACATGTTCTGAAACGGGTAAATTGCAAAAGAACGGACTCTTAGTGCATTGCTTTTACACATTACCTTAGTGGTTTTAGTACCGAGACAGAGTGAAACAAGTTTGGGCCTTTGTGGTATATACATTGGTTACTATTTCTGCGTCATACAGAGTGAGTCAAAACTTCAAGGAAATCGCAATTAAATGATAAGTACCAGGGTGTGTTTTATAAAAACACAAAGTGAGACATGAAAGAGTTGTTTCAGCAGTGCGAACAATATTTATTGGTAGATTGTTAAAACAAATAATCAAATTCAAAGCATAGGTATCAGAAAAGTATAAATAGAAGAAAATGCTGTCTAGTGTCTTTGATTCTGCATCTTACTTACCTGATGACATCTATTTACATCTCTTTGCTTCTTGTGATCAAATTGAATAATAAAATTAGATAGTAGTATGTGTGTTAATCTTAATCTATACATTATTTCAAGACACATTTGTTCAATGGGTGGAGGGTTTTCAACCCAAATCTTTGAAAATGGAACCAGGATCTCCACACTGCCTTAATTTTTATACCTTCTCCAACTTGTGGACTTGGTCACAATAAATCTAATGCTTTTATTTATTGAATATTTCTAGGGCAGCCATCAGGAAAAAGTTATTTTAGTAACTATATATAAACTGAAAATACTTCTGACTTCACCTCAAATACATTGTTGGAGGAGGAAAACAGGAAGACATCTTTTGAGATGTCTTCACTCCTTCAGGGAGTGATGAACTCAAGTTTTGTGGAAAAAATTGGGAGAAGAGAAAATTATGACCACACTAACAGGGTGTGTAAAAAAGATGAGAACTACTGAGGTTTGTTTTTCCCCCAAAAATCTTGAAATTAAGTATATTTGTTACAGGGATTAATTTTCTTTCAAGAACCTGTACCAAGTTTACATTAAAAAATTAATGTGTTTCCTATTAATTTCTCTTTATGATATGGTGCCTTGCCCGAGTTTCACTACAGAGTTCTTATACACTCACTAACAGTGATAACAGTAATACCAAAATCACCTAGGAATGTTGGAGGGAGGTCATTTTGCCTTACATAGAAAAAGAAATGGAGGCAAATTTTTTTTTTCCCTTCCTAGGCTCTTTTTTTATTTGCAGTAATAGCAAACCATCCATTTACAAAGCTTCTGGTCTCCCATCACTGGAATTAACTAGGGATGTCTTTGGGATCATGTAATTGTTTGAATCCACTTTGGTGGATACAAGAAAGGAAGAAGCCCAGCACCAGAACACAGGGGTAGTGCATACTGCTCCAGCTGCAGCCCAGCAGGTCCATGGAGGTGCCAGAAGAGACACACTTAGTGGAGGAAAAGAAGAGAGACGCTCTGCATTTGTTTTCAAAGCCAATTCTTTTGAAAGAGTGAACAAACCATTATCATTAATTCAAATGTTCTAATCACTTAGATTCAGCTGTAGACACAATTTTTTCCTTTGGCTAATATCCAACCCTGAAATAAATTTACCCAAAAAATCCCCCAAATTTAGTACAAATAGTACAATTCATACCTACTTTCCTCTTTCCTTTCTTTAGAAAAATGTCAAATAAAATGCAGGTGAAAGAGATGAAATACAACCAGAAGCTGACTTAGAGACTTACATGAACCTGAAAGGATCTAAAAAAATTATGTTTTTAATGTGAATCTATTTAAAATAAAGCATTTGGGTGCTGATTTTAAAATAAGGTAACAGTCATACTGCTAGAAAGTCCCCAGGTGGAAAAAAAAAAAGGTTAAGAATAACCTTTTCAAAACCCACAAGACTGGTTCTTATGCATTATTCATTTAGCTGTGGTTATGGGGAGTATCCTGATTTTCCATAAAATCCTCTTGACCGTGCTGCAATATCATGGCATAAAGATTCAAAGTGCCACTAAACAGAAGGAAAAAATCATGGTTTAAATCATAAACCATGATTTTGGGTAATGCTTGAATGGGAACATTTGATATAGATGGTCAGATGAAAGATACCAAAATGTCAAGAGGCAAATATTGATAGTATCCACTCAGGCTGCTGAGTTCAAGAAAGAAAGTGCTTCAGTAAACTTTTAGTATCTTAATACTCCTGACAAGATTATTCATCATGTGGAGACACACACATCAGGCAATTTTAGCACTACTCATAGGATATCAAGTTCCTGAAGCCCTGCAATTGTTATTTCTCACTAAAGAGTAATAAATTGCCATGGTGGTTAATTAGAGTGTGTCCCAAAATAATGACCCACTCTAGGTTTCAAAACATGATGGTTTGGAGAGAGAAGAATGGCTGGTGAGGCCCTATCTCTTGGGAGGCCCCTTGGGAGAGAGCTTGACCCTACAACATTATTTCTTATTTTCAATTCTTACAGAGATGTTTGTAGCACATTATCTCATTATCTTAGTTATAGAGAAAATAGAGAATTAAGATAAGTAAAATGTACCAATGCTCTAAAATGGATGGTCTAAAAAGAGTAGCTTGGGTGGGCCCATAAGTTGGGTGGGGTAGAGCCTCTGTGGATCCCCAAGGTGGGTAACACAGTGTTAGCCATGTTGATGGAGTCTAGATATGGCACCAGCATACCAGCTGTCATGGGGAGGGCTCATCAAAAGGACAATGGCCTCTGCTCATCCCAATGGCAAACACTTCAGCTTTTCCCTGTATACCACTGGTGCTCTGCAATCTGCCACTCTGGTGCTGGAGCTCAGAGGGAAAGAGTCTGAGTAGGTGAGTCCATGTGTGGGTTCTCTGAG